GAACACGGAATTGGGAGGCGGCAGATTGCAGGGGCTATTTGGGGGGGGGGGAACGATGCCGGCTCAACATCATGATGTCTGTCAGCCATCGGCGATGGACGATGACATCGCCTATCAGCCCATCCCTATTGGGTAGTGCTTGTACAAGTTGTTACTCTACATTTGTTTTGTCTAAACCTGTTCCTGGAGGGCCACTGTCCTGCAGAGTTTATCTTTAACAAATAATAAACACCCCTGAAACTAAGTTCAAGGTCTACAGACTCATTAGAAACAAGTGTGTAGGAGCTGGATGGAGCTTTGCAGGATATTGGCCTTCCAAGAGCAGGTTTGGACACCCCTGGTCTACATCTTCTTACAACATGGGAGTACCGCAAGGGTCTGTACTTGGCCCACTGTTGTTTACAATGTACATAAATGACCTACCAAATTGCTGTCCGGGTGTCTACTGTCAGATGTATGTGGATGACACTGTCGTCCATTAAGTGTGGGAATATTTAGTCACCTCACGATCTGATCCGATTCCGATTCTGGGAGTCACGATCCGATTCCAGAACGATTCTTGATTTACTCCCCCCCCCCATTAATTAATTAGTTTACTGACTTGAGAATCTTAAAATACTATGACATCATAGACAGCGGGAGATCTATTAAGCTGCATTCACGCACGGATCTCTTTTGAAATATAAGAAGTAATGTGGTTTGTCCTGTCTGTTTAATCCCTTAAGACATAACTGGCTGTGTTTACATTAATTTTGCGTCATCAAACCATTTTGAGAAGCAAGTGCATTAAACCACTTACACAGCCGCATGCGCGAGCAGTCTTTTTGAAATTGAAAGCAGCCTTCTGTTAGTGAGGTTCATATTTTAAATATATGTCCACTGCATTCCAAACCACATAAATTATGACTTCGTAGAGCATTTCTCTCACAGCGCATCCAGTGCAATGAAGCCTGCGAATGTCCTTGCAATTCGCTTCAACCTTTCCAAACTTTATTAAAGATTATTTTACGGAAGGTTCAAGTGGTATATGTGTGTGAGGAATTGGAAGCAAGCAGAATACGGGTGTTTCTAAAGCAAACTCAGCGTCATACTGAGCTTAGTTTTCTGGTTAAAAACTAAGCTCAGAATCGATTCTGAAATTCTCAGAATCGATCCAGAATCGTTGGAGAGGTGCATCGATGGATCGATTTTTTCTCCCACCCCTATCGTCCATGTGTCTACTAAAACACCTAGCTTGACAGGTGAGCACCTGACACAGGCATAGGAGAATAGATGGATGGCTTGAGTTGTCTCATTTAACTCTTAATGTTAAGAAAACTGTTTGCCTTTCAGTCGTTCACTACGAGTCACGTCGGTGACTGATGAATCAATTCACTTCAAG